ATATATTTTTTTTTTAAAGAAAGTACTTTTATTTTTCCTGGGGGAGAAAATTTATGAGCAGAACAACCCCAACTGTAAGTGTTGGTTAGATATTGTAAATTTCAATCCTGGATTTTTCAGGGTGAAGTGGGAATGAGACCCAAAGGAAGAGGTTAAGCTCCCTTCCTTATACAACTCCTTTTCTCTATTGAGTGTCACTGATTGCAAATTTTCAGATTTTCTTGATTAAAATAAGGTGAGCATGAAGAAAAATGTTAACTTACGTAACTAGAACAAACCTCACCCGCTCCCTTCCTGAAACCAAATCCTAGCCCTCCAGGTGTCACTGGGCATTGTGAGTGGTCATGTGACCCTACCGTTCACCTCCTCTTTGGAAATCTCTCATTAGTTGTTACCACGGCCACCAGTAGGGTTCCCCTGGCCCAAGCATCAATCCCATCTTTCTTTAATTTCCTGTAATACAGTGGAGACCTGGCTGGGAGTTTAATCAAGACAGGGTTGGGGTGGGGAAGAGAACGGGAAGGACAAAGAGGTGTCCACCATGGAGAATGACAAGTGCACACTGATCTGGCGGTTTTCTCTCCCAGGTCAGTAACATCAAACAAAAGTGTATGCTTGGGTGGGGGGTGGTTTGGGGACATGGGGCATACTTCCCCCTTCTGGGAGAGTGATCTTTATTTTTTTCATATATAACAAATCTAGGAATATTTCCCAGGAAGGGGGTCCACTTTGGAAGTGATAATGTATAGGGCCAGTCACAGTGGGTCTCGGGAGGGCCACATTGCCAAGACCTCACATTTGAGAACAGCCTCAGGTGTGGACTTCGGATGTTATCTCCAAATGAGGTTAAGCGTACAGCCACTGACACACACTGATATAATTGGGGAGCAGGGAGGGGAAGGAGGACAGCACACAAGACTTTAAACTTGTGTTCTATGACCAGATCATATTAGCTGTTGAGTACTATCAATTTTATATTTTGTAAAACCGTGACTAGCACAATTATATTGCACTATATATACGTATTGAGTGTAAACATTAGGGTATATCAGAATTCTTGTAATCCCGTTGACATTTCTTCACTTTCTAAAATCCTGCCGTTCTCAGAAATCGGGAGTGGTCTGGCCTCTGAGAGGCCCGGACTGTAGACTTTCTCTGCCCTCGATGCTGCCCGTGGGGCATGGTGGCCTTCTGTAAGAGAAGGAGGAAGCGTGGTTGCTCCGGAGGGATTTACAGAGATGTTCCCTCGTGATGGAGGACTGCAGTGGTTCTTAAACTTACACGGCAACAAACTCTCCTTGGTAGCTTGTTAGAAACGACCTACGATGCACTGAGAATTTCTGGCCCAGACCCAAGATCTTGGTTCAGAGCGTCTGGGATTACTCTTTGAAAAGCCCTGCTACCGATTACAGAGGCAGCTGTTGGGGGAAGGTCAAATTATAGAAGTCTCCTTTGGGAAATATGTAATGATCCCCCCGGGAACAGTGAAAACTCTGTCTTAGAGAGAGGTTTCCCCGCTAGGATCAATAAAGAAACAGGCAAGGGACCTGGCAGGTGAGAGAGCAGAGGCAGGGATGGCCGGCAAGCCTGGCTGCGGAGAGCTGGGAGCAAGTGAGGAACTGTTTGAATGAGCAGACTGTGGGGGAGGCAGTCATGCCAGAGGGACATGGGATGCGGGCAGCTTCTGGGGGAACCTCAGTGGAGGGGAGTGGCAGAAGGCCTCAGGGTAGAGTGGGCATGTCCTAGAGCAGTGGTTCTCAACCTTCTGGCCCTTTAAATACAGTTCCTCATGTTGTGACCCCAACCATAAAATTATTTTCGTTGCTATTTCATAACTGTAATTTTGCTACTGTTATGAATCGTAATGTAAATAGCTGATATGCAGGATGGTCTTAGGCGACCCCTGTGAAAGGGTCGTTCGACCGCCAAAGGGGTCACTACCCACAGGCTGAGGGTCAGAACCTTGAGCATAAAGCTGAGAAAGGAGAGGCTCTGTGGGGGCTGGTATAGGAAAAAGCTCAGAAGGCACCACTCCTTCCAATAATGGCAAACAAGCGTGAATATTCCTTATAGGTCGCGTAGCTACTAAAGTGAAGACAGGCCTCTTATGACGTTTCTGATTAATTAATGTTTTTGTAAAAATAAGGGAATATATAGAGTACCCGAGATAGGGGAGGGAGGTGTCCTAAGCTATGGGGTAAGGTGTGTTTTTCTAGATTATTGAGTGACATTCCTTCATTGACCAACCTGCGCCTCTCATACCATTAGTAATTCTGCTACAGGGTCAATTTTATACATTTTAACAATTATAGTTTAGCCCTGGTCAGTGGGGCTCAGTTGGTTGGAGTGTCATCCTGTGCAGGTTCAATTCCCAGTCAGGGCACATACCCAGGTTGTGGGTTCGATCCCCCGGTCAGGGTGCGTACAGGAGGCAGCTGATTGATGTTTCTCTCTCACATTAATGTGTTTTTTTCTCTCTCTCCCTCTCCCTTCCTCTCTCTCTCAAATAAAAACATATCCTTAGGTGAGGTTTAAAAAAAAAGTAAAGTTTAAACACATCAGTTTCATTTCCATGATCCACTTATAATTCTGTGCTCAAATCCAAAATTCTTCTGTTACTTTTTGTCCATTCCAAAGACCTACCACAAAAGCCTTCCTGAGTAACAAGAGAAATTTATCCATTCGTTATATGATTGAATAATTACTGTGCTTTCAAATATAAAAACATATTTGTTACCTAAGTTTTTACTAACTTTATATTTCATTTATTTAATTTATACTAATGATAGCAACTGTGCTTTATATTTTGGAGTAATCTGCTTAGCAACTCGACTACGTAAAAGCCATTTGAGCTAACAGTACAATTCTCAAGCTTTCTGGATTGCAAAGCTCTATTGTTTCTTGACTTCCACATATTATCCTTTTTTTTTTAGTGGAACAAACATAATAGATTAGAGCAAAAGAGTCCTAACAAACTCAACTTCTATTTTGCTTCTGTTGTGGCCATCACTGATAACAGGTGGTTCCTAGGCTATAAAAAGTCGAACAAATAGTGTTAATAGGACTTTGAAATCAATGACAGTTGTTGGATTTGTATGTGTGTTTGTGTGGTTTATGTGTAGGAAGTCAAAATATAGCCTACTCAAAAAATTCAATAAAATTTTTAAATGCCTAATATAAGCTGGACACGATTTAGGTGCTGGGGATATAAGTACAAAGCAATGGGTGCATTCTCAGGGAACTTACATTCTTATGGTAGGAGATGGAAAACAAAGAGTGTGACAGGAAGTCGGGTATGTGTGCTATTTTATGGTAGGATAGTGAGAGAAGGCTTCTATAACGAGTGACATTTGAACAGAGACTTGAAGGAAATGAACAAGCTTAGTGCATATCTGGGGGAGAGCTTTCTGGGTGGAGGAATCTTGGTACAAAGACCTTGAAAGAGGAGGTCGCGTAGGATTTGAAGGAATATCAAGGAGACCAGTGAGAGTGAAGTGGAATGGATGAGGCGGGGAGGGAAAGGAGATGAAGTTGGAAAGTTAGCTGGGTGGTCTTTTTGGCCATGCTAAAAACTCTGAATTTTTTTTTTTCTTATCTTGGTGAGATGGGAAACCAATGGAGGGATTGAGCAAAGGAATGATATGAACATTTAAAAAAATATATATTTTTATTGATTGCAGAAAGGAAGAGAGAGGGAGAGAGAGATAGAAACATCAGTGATGAGAGAGAACCATTGATTGGCTGCCTCCTGCATGCCCTACACTGGGGATCGAGCCACAACCCAGGCATGTGCCCTGACTGGGAATTGAACCGTGACCTCCTGGTTCATAAGTCAACACTCCACCACTGAGTCACGCCAGCCTGGCTGATGTGAACTTTTTAACAGGATCACTGTGACTGCTGTATGGGGATAGTGTTAGGCTGAGTTCCCAGAAGTAGAGCCTGAGAGGGGGATGTGTATGGATAAAATGGGGGAGAGTAAAAGAAGCAGGTCGAAGAGGAGGAGAATGGCAAAAATTCAGCCTGATCTCACGGGAAGCTCTGGAGCATAAATTACACTGTAGAGTTTTTTTCCCCACTTGAGATGAGGGAGAGGGGCTTTTTACCTTCACCCTGGTTATTGGATGAAGTCTCTGGGGGAAAGGGATGGACAGTGTAAATCCCAGGCCCTTCCAGGTGTAGTGGCTTCCATTGCCCAAGTGCAATTATCACTGACGCACTTACAGCAGCTGGGCAAGGGGCTCACCAACCAATTGATAAAAGGGTTTTCGGAGGGTATGATTGAGTGAGCCAATAGCATCTTCTCCATGGAATAAGGGTGAAAGTAGAGACACCAATTAGGAGGAAAGTGCAGTAGTCCAGAAGAAAGATGAAGGTGGCTTGGATTAGAATGTAGCGGTAGAGGGGTTGAGAAGTATTGTTGGATTCTGGATAAATTGGGGGAGGGAAAAGGCCCATAAGATTTGCTAATGGATTGCTTATCTACACTAATAAAAGAGAAACATGCAAATTAACCATCACTCCATTACTCCGCCACTACGCTACACCCACCAGCCAATCAGGGCAACTATGCAAATTAACCCAACAAAGATGGCGGTTAATTTGCATACACAGGCACGGAGCGAAGATGACTGAAGATGGCGGTGGCCACGCAGCTGGAGCAAGCAGGAGGCTTAGGTGCTCCTGGCAACGGAGGAAGCCAAGATTCCCGCCGGCCCTGGACTCTGCTCAAGGAGGGGCTGGGGGCTTGGGCTCCACTTAAGGAGCTGGAAAAAAAAAAGGAGGGGTTGGTAGCAGCCGGAGCGTAGAAACCAAGCCTCGCTGCTGCGGACCAAAGGCCTGGGTCCCAGGTGCTGGAGGAGAACCGGTGCCAGCAGCCAGGGGAAGGAAGGCCTATTGGGTGAATCTTCGTGCAACGGGCCACTAGTAGAATATAAGAGGAGAAGAATCAAAGGTGACTTCAAGGTTTGTGACCTAGCCATTTATTGAGATGGGGAAGACTGTGAGAGGAGCAGGTTTGGAATGGGGTGAAAAGTAGAAGCTTCATTGGAAACATTAAATTGCAAATGCCTGATAGATGTCTGAATGAAGATGTAAAGGAGGCAATTGGATGTAGGAGTCTGAAGTTGTGAAAATATGTTCCATTTCCTAAGTTCAGATGACCAACTGCTCATGATACTAAAAGAATGTGCATATGTCTTTAGATAGCACTGTTGGAAACTTTTGTTTGAGAGTGGATGTGGAGTGAGAAAGCCATAACTAGTTCCAAACAACCTCAAAAAGGGCAAAAGATACATATTGGAGACCATAGATCAGCAGCCTTGATGACAACTTCAGCCACCATTTCTAAAATAGAGCATTAAAAAAAGATGAGCTTTCATATATTTACCAAAAGTTGTAATAATTTAGAGGTAACATGGATTTCCAAAGAACAAGTTGGACCATACTAGCTTCATTTCTATTTTTTAAAGCATTCTAGGCACAGAGGTTTAGGAAATTCTGTCTTGGTATATCCCAATTTTTATGACAAGATGAAGAAATATAGGCCAGAATATAGAATTATCATGTAGCTTTCTAACTGGCTAAACAAAAGCAAAGAAGGGTCAACCCTTAGGTTATTTTTTGCTGCCAAACAAGTTTTTACATATCTAGGCCCTTTGCTAGTTGTAATTTTTAATCAACAACTTAACTGAAAAGCTGGAAAGCTTATTATCAGATTTGAAGATGACACAACCTGGGGGAAAATAGCTAATACATTGAATTATAAAGTGCAAGTTTTAAAGAAGGAGAAACCAAAACTCACAATTTTAAAATTAATAGGGATGAATGCAAAATATCCTATTTCACACGTTGTGAGATATCTCCCTTCACAGCAGTGAACAGTGTCAACAATTTTTGATAAAGACGCTTATTTTTCATTGTCATTTGTGGCTTGACGTTAAGTGTTCAGGCTTTGGAGCCATTTGCCTGGGTTAGAATCCTGGCTCTGCCACTTACTAGGTGTGTGATCTAGGGTATGTTTCTTAAAATCTGTGTTTTATTTTCCTTACCTGGAAGATGAGGATGATATTAGTTACAACTAATATTGTTGGCATTTTTATAAGAATTAAACTCATGTAAGGTACTTAGGGCAATGCCTGGGACATAGTTAGTACTCAATTAATAGCTATTATAACAGATTCAACAATGTGATCTGGTTGCTAGAAAGGTAAGACTGAGTACAATTATAGAAGTGAGCTATCAAGATCAAGGGAAGCTCATGGCCCACTGTGTTCTTTACTGCTGGGATTTTATTCAGTCCTGGGTGTCCCTAATTAAGAAAAGTGTCTCCAACCTGTGGGAAATTGAGTGGTGAAGGTGGTGATCAAGGGAAGCTCATGGCCCACTGTGTTCTTTACTGATGGGATTTTATTCAGTCCTGGGTGTCCCTAATAAGAAAAGTATCTCCAACCTGTGGGAAATCGAGTGCTGAAGGTGGGGAAGAGTATAGACTCATGCCAAATGAAGAAAAATTGAATGGACTGGGATAGAGAGAATGAGTTCTCTTGGAAAAAGACTCAGGAGATGAAATAAAGCTTCCTTGAAACATCTGAAGGGCTGTCATGTGGAAAAGAAATTAGACAGAGTCCCTGTTGCTCTGGAGACAGAACCAGAAGCAAAGAGTAGGAATAAAAGGTAGGGTGCAAACGTGTTTTAACTTTCTGTTACTTGCAGAGAGAGGGCAGAAGCCCGGTCTAGCTCTGCCTCTAAATTACTGTAAGATATCAAATTTCTCCACTCTACAAGCCCCAGTTTCATAAACTGTGAAATCAGGGTTTGGAGTATTATGTGCTCTAAAGTGGAAATTAGGATTGGTCTATTAACGGGTTATCTTCCTAGACAGTGGGTTTCCTATTGTTACTATCGTAACTAGCTAATTTATTAATATTAATAATAGGAAGAAAGCAAAGGGAAGGCCAGACATGATAAGCATGGTCATCTGGGCAGCTTCACCAGGAAGCTACAATTTCACAGCCCCCAGGGAACCACCAGTCTATTCCCTGCAAATCACTGGGGAAAGGGGTCCAATAAAGGGGAAGATGGGTGCATGTGCAATGAAGTTGGAGTGATGTAGGGAAGTTGCTTGCCTGTCAGTCTAACCTGGAAAAAAAGATAATTGGCTAGGGTGTGGAAACACTACAAGCACGTGAAATCTTAAAGGCTTAATTGATTAAGTTCCTAATTATAACTCATACAAAGAGCTCTTGCTCTCTTGTTTGCTCTTTCACTTCTATTTCTTGCTTGCTCCATGACCTGCACTCGCCCACCATGTGGCCATGGGCCATGCGGACCCCACATGCAATGGACTGCAGCTGGGAACACAAGCTAAGCTAGCCAGATGCTGGACTGGATTGTGCTTTAATATAGAGCTGAAACTCTGGCAGTGATTTTAATCCTAGCTCTATTAAAGATACAGTTGAACTTTTTCCATGGCTAGAGGGAAGGAAATGGGACCTTGGAGAGGAACTCCCCTAATGTCATATCATCAATAAAGCTTTCCATTATACCTCATCCTCCTGTGGGGGGCCTCAGGAAATTCTTGTTCCTGTGGCACCCGAAGAACTCCACTTCCACCAATAACAGGTGGGGATACAGTGGGCACCCCACTGATAACACTATCACTGGAAATGTCTAAATTGAGACATATTAGAGTAGACATTATTGTATTTGATTAGGATTTATGTGATCTAAATGGTATCAAAGATCTCTTTTAATTCTAAGATTCTAGGAAAAAATTGCTTATTTATTTATTTACTTATTTATTTTAAATTTATTTTTGTAAAAATAGAAAATGCTTTATTTCCAGGAATTACAAAAGCTGATGAAATACGGGATGAAGGGAGTGCTGCTGTAATCTGGTGTAGCGGAAGGAATGGCCACCTAGTTTCGCTTTCCAACTACAAACACCATGGGGATCTCGTGGTTTAAGGTAAGGCATGATGAGGGCCAATAGTAAGTAAAATAAGGCTGACTTGAACACAAGCACTGTGATGTCATGACAGCCCATCTAATAACCCAGATGGCCACCAAGTGACTAAAGGGCAGGTAGCCTATACAGTGGATACTCTGCACCAAGGGTGGGGAACCTTGGGCCATTTGGATATTTATAACATCATTCACGAGCCATACAAAATTATCAACTTAAAACTTAGCCAGCTATATTTGGTAAAATATTTAATTAATTCATCCGTAATGCCTTGGAAGGGCCAGACCAAATGATTTCGAGGGCCTGGGCCGGACGTTCCCCACTGCTGCAAGGGATAAATAAATCATGTACCAGGTAGGATGGATTGGGATGGCATACAGTTTAAAACTTATGAACTTTCTGTTCCTGGAATTTTCCATTTGAATTTTCAGATCTTGGTTGACTGTGGGTAACCACAGAAAGTGATACTGTGGATAAGCAGGGACTGCTGTACTGTGAAATGCTCAGATCTTTAAGTTCATTAGTTTTGACAACTGTATATCAAGATAAAATATTTTCATCAGCCCATTATGTTCCCACATGCCCCCAGTCAATTCCCATAGTTACCCTTCAACTACTGATTGGCTTTGTATCATCATACCTTAGTTCTATCTATTCTAGAATTTCTTATGAGTGGAATCATGTATGTGCTCTTTTGTACTTTGTTTCTTTTATTGAATATAATATTTTAGAGATTCATTTATGTTGTGTGTACCAGTAGTTCATTTGTTTTTATTGCTGAGTAGTTAGTATTCCACTCTTTGAATACACCACAGTTTAAAAAAAACTCTCTTTCCCTGTGATGCACATCTGGATTGTCTCCAGATTTTGGTATTCTGAATAAAATTTCTATGCGAATTCTTATATAAAGCTTTCTATAAACAGACATTTCTATAAACATACATTTTCATTTCTCTTGGGAAAATATCTGTGAATCGAATTTCTGGGTCATAGGTCAGATGTATGTGTAACTTTGTAAGAAGTTGCTAAACATTTTTCCAAAGTAGTTGTACCATTATATATTCCACCAGAAAAAGTGAAACTTTGAGTTGTTCCACATCCTTTCCAACATTTCGTGTTGAGAGTGTGTGTGTGTGTTTGTTTTTGTGATTAATCACTATGCTTTAATTATGTTCAATTTGTAACAATGAAAATACATCCTGCATATCAGATATTTACATTACGATTCATAACAGTAGCAAAATTATAGTTATGAAGTAGCAATGAAAATAATTTTATGGTTGGGGGTCACCACAACATGAGGAACTGTATTAAAGGGTCACGGCATTAGGAAGGTTGAGAACCACTGCTTTAGATGAACAGACACTTTGTAGTTTGATGTATTAAAATTTATCAATGTTTTCCTCTTATGGTTCATGCTTTCTCTGTCCTTTTGGAAAAGTTTTTGCCTACTGCAAGTTTGTAAAGATTTTCTCCTAAGTTTCCCCCCTAACTTTATTATTATATTGTTTTACCTTTACATTTAATTCTCAAATTGATTTTTGTGTATGATGTGAGGGAAAAATGAAGATCTCTTCTTCTCTTCTCTTCTCTTCTCTTCTCTTCTCTTCTCTTCTCTTCTCTTCTCTTCTCTTCTCTTCCCTTCCCTT